GAGGGTACTTGCCTTCTTGCATGAAGTTGACCCAGGATCGATCTCCAGCATCCCATGTGATCCCCTGAGCATCTCCAGGAGTAATTCCTGACTGTAGAGCTAGGAGTAAGCCCTGAGCATTGCTAGGTATGGCTCCAAAACTTAAAAGAACCCATAAAATACCCCCCAATTACTGCAAATAGGGGCTGGAGCGATAGTACAGCAGGTAGGGTGTTTGCCTTGCACGTGGCCAATCTTGGTTCGATTCCTAGCATCCTATATGGTCCCCTGAGCACCGCCAGGAGTAATTCCTGAGTGCAGAGATAGGAGTAACCCCTGTGCATTGCCGGGTGTAACCCAGAAAGCCAAAAAAAAAAAAAAACAACTGCAAATACTGCTGGGAGTACCGGTGACCCCCAAATTGCTGGGGGAGATACCCCTCAAAAAAAAAAAAGAAAGAAAAGAAAGAAAAGGGCTGGAGCAACAGTACAATAGGTATGGCACTTCCCTTTTACTCAGCCAAATTGCGTTTGCCACATGATCCCCAAAGCCTCACCATGAATGATTCCTGAGTACAAAGCAAGGAAGAAGCCTTGAGCATGATTGGGTGTGGTCCAAAAACAAACAGAAAAAGTAACAGTTAAACAAAGTTCTTTGATGTCATAAGATATATGCTCTTTGAAACATATAACAATATGTATTTCTTTTCATAAAGGACAGGGCTGGAGATAGCACAGGGGCTAAGAACTTTGACTTGCATCTTGCCAATCCCAGTTTGAATTCCCAGCACTGCCAGGGGTCACCCCTGAGATCAGAGCCAGTAGTAGCCCCTGAGCCTCACCATGGATAGTCCCAACACCCATCCAATCAAAAAAGGGGGAAAGAACACTAAAAAGTATATTAAGAAAGAAGTCCCCTTTTGCTTCTTTAGTCCGTAGGTTTCCCTTTCTAGAGGCACCCACTCTTTATTTTTAAATTTTATTTTTAAAGAGTTGTTCACAGTAATTGATTATATTCAATATTTCACCACCAATCCTATCCCCATTACACCTTCCCACCCCCATTATTTCGATTTTTCCCTCCACCACCCAAGCCTGCCCCAAAGGCAGATGCTAAATAATTTATCTTGTATTACTTGTTACGAATAATTGACTAAAAATGATCCAAAAAGTTTTCCTTAGAGAAGTACCCACTATGTGTGTGTGCGTGAATGTTAAATAAATTTAGAACCATACAACTTCCTGATTTTCCACAATATATTTTTGAAAATCATTCCATAGCAACAGAGTTTCTTTTCTTTTTTGGGGGGGCCTGTCAGAAGGGGGCTTAGGTCTTACCCAGTGGTGCTCAGGGGCCCACATAAGGGGCCAGAGATTGAACCAGGCCTGCTATATGCAAACCTATGCTCCAGCCCTTTGAATTACCTTCAGTCTGAGCTCCTTTTTCCTTTTAGTTGCAAAAGTAAGTTGCTAATTTGCAAATGCACCACAATTTACAATTTATTTAACCTCCACTTGATTTAGATTCTTCCTTCCTTCCCTATTAAAAAACAAAACCATGTGGCCTTTGGGTTTATTGTATTATTCAAAGAGCATCGTGGGGGGGCTGGAGCTATAGTACAAAGAAAGGGCAAGGCGTTTGCCATGCAGGAGGCCATCCCAGGTTCTATCCCTGGCATGCTGTAAGGTCCCCTGAGCACCTTCAGGAGTAATTCCTTTGTACAGAGCTAGAAGCAACCCCGTGTGACCCAAAAAAAGCCCCTCCCCAAATGAATTAATTAAATGAAATTAAATAAAACAGCATCCTGGAGTCCAATTACTGTGTATGCTGACAGAGGCTGAGGTTATCTCCAATTCCTCCCTATGCTAAACAAGCTCCCTTGCGTAGCCCCTGGCAGCTCTAGCATATGGGGAAGTCGAGCTGCAGGATGTGGTAGGGCAGAGCGCCAACACTTTCTCTTTGGATGGATAAGGTTAAACTCAATAAAAGTGACTTCAATGAAGAAGAGTATAGGAGATAAGCCAGCTGCTCGGAGATTGAGTCACAGGGATTCCCCTGGGAAGAGGCTGAGAAAACAGATGGAGGGAGCACTCACAGAGGTGGTTGGGGGGGGTGCACCCAGGTCACAGAGGGGCAGCCCAGAGAGAGAGCTGCTGCAGAGAAGCAGGCCAAGAGAGGTACAGAGGCCCGACGACCTAAAAACAAGACAGGAAGCTGAGAGCAAGAAGGAAAGTGCATGCTGGAGCTTGCCCCCAGCCCAGTGGGCAGGCTGGGCATCAGGAGAGGGTGCAGAGGACATGCCAGGGGCCGGCCAGAAGGTGGGAGGCCTTCGAGACAACGCCAAGGGGGCTGGGAGGGGCCGCTCCTCCCTCCTGGCAGTTTGTAGAGTTATTAGCAGTCCAAAAGGGGAGCAGAGACAACCCTGAGTCTAAATGGCAGGCAGCCCCAGCGCCCTGGGGTGCAAGTGGCAGAGGGGTGTGTCAGGCCTTGGTCACATTGGTGACACCCCCTCTCCCTGCCCCTAGAAGGGGCAGGAGCCCGTCCTACCACTCCCTTCTTCCCACCTTCCCTGGGTACACAGGGCTGGCGCCTCCAAGCACCCCTCCCTCTGCCACAGGAACGCAGGGCCAATGCAGGGCCACTCTGAGGGAACCAGGCTCCTCCCGCCAAGCCTCAGGAAAGGGGGAGGGCAGGGGAAGAAGCAGCTCAGGAGGAATCTGGACTGAACTGGCTGGGCCACAGGCAGGGAAAGGGGAACTGCTTTACCCCAGAGAGGATTTCTCTATCCCATGATGCTCAGCTCATCGAATCAAAGGTTCCTGAGCCTGGGCACTGCCGCGCACCTGGCCTTCGGCCCTGCTCCAGGAGGCCACAATGAATAGCTGCACTTTCCTTTCAATTCCCCGAGGGCCAACTCAGCTGAGTGTGGACTTCTTGATAAACACACAGCATCTCCCACTCCCCAAAGCAACGCAGCTCCCCCAAAATAGCTGGAGCTCACTCAGTCCAAGCCTACCCTGCACCCCAGTGCTACAGGAAATCTGCACTCCCTCCTCTCTGCTCTAATAGGCCAATCTTGGGGTGGCTGGTGCAGTGTGGGGTCCCACAGGAGGATCCTAACCCAGGGTGGTGCGGCCCCGTCAAAAGCCTGACCAGACCCTGGGCTTTCGGGGAAACAGACAGGGAAAGACTCCACAGACTGTCCGAGCAGGAAGAGCACAGGAGGTTAAGCTCAATGACCGCACCTCCCACACTCTGCTCCTTCCTGTGGAACAGGCTCGGGCCTGGCCCAGAACTGGTGCCCCCCCCCCGGGGAATCCCCATCCCACCTCTTCTCGGTGACCCAGGACAGCTAGTGGAAGGGAAGGGATAAAGCAGGCCTCTCACCAGGACCAGGCTGGCCCAGGAGAAGGTTGGACAGTAATGCCCTTTCCCCACTTTCCAAAATACCCCAGCAGGGGGCTGGAACAATAGTATACCGGGTAGGGCATTTGCCTTGCATGCGGCAGACCCGGGTTCGATCCCTGGCATCCCATATGGTCCCCCAAGCACCGCCAAGAGTAATTTCTGAATTCCTGAGTGCAGAGCCAGGATTAACCCTTGAGCATCGCTGGGTGTGACCCAAAAAGCAAAAACAAACAACAACAACACAAAAAGCAAAAGCAGCTCCTGGCTCAGCCTGAGTCAAGTGCAAGCTGCAGGGCTCCTCAGCATCCAGGTCCATTACCCAGTGGGCTGCCCCCTGGGGTCAGAGGGCTGTTTTCGTAGTTGTTGGCCATCACCCTCCCCACCCTACCTGCCCTACCCACTGTATTATCACTCTGGCCCATCTGCTTTGTTCTTCAATCAAGAAAGAAAAAAATAAGGTTATTTTTTTTTTCAAACAGGACCTGGGGGGGGGGGGGCAGAATGCCAGATCTCCCATATTTGGGTGGTGTGATACTGGACAAAGATCTTCTGAATGTCAATTTCCAATCAAAAACAAAAATGACTACTAATAGCACCCATCCCACAGGTGGCTGTGATGAGGGCTGGGAAAAAGAACTCAGTGGCACAGCAGTTAAACTATCAAGTGCCACACAAGTTATCAGTGATGACCCATCCCTATCCCCGGGCCCCACCAGCCCAGAATAGCAGATGGAGAGTGGAATGAAGGTGCGTCGCATATCCGTATGTGTGCGCCCGCACGCGCCTGTGTGTGTGTATATGTGTTAGAATGAATGTATGTGCATGTGTGTATGTGATCCCAGCTGACTGTTCCATCCAAGAAGGAAGAGAAGAGGAGCTCCAGCCCTTCCTCTCTGACCCCCCACTTTTCCCTTATCCCGGAAGTAAACAAGGCAAACCGGCAGTTTGGCTAGCAGGTTCTAAGCGGAGAGAGCCCAGCCTGGCTGGCACGCGCACACACCTGCCAGAACAGCTGACATCCCTCCCCTACCAGATACATGCCAACAGGCTGACTCACCCGGCAACCCTCCTCACCCCCACCCCAGCCTCTAGACTACTGTGTCCAAACCACTCCCCTTCCCCCATTTGGTTTAATCCCAGACTGGGTTCGTTCCTTGTCCTTCGTTCAGTCTCTGGGGTCGGTCCCCCCAGGTCCCCAAGAGGTCAATATTAACCAGGCCGGAGACATCCAGACCTAAGACAGCCCATGGACAAGAGACCGAGGATCACGGGACTCAGTCAAGAGCTCCTCAGAGACACCCACACCAGTGCTGGGCCAGGAGTTCCTCACCCTCACCAGAGAGCGGCTCCCTGACTCAGCTACATGTGACCAGGGCCCGGGTACCTCTCCCAGACTGAAGCCAAATCACCAGCCTAGCAACGGCCTCAGTAGGAGCCAGAGTCTGGGCTCCCGGGGGCCACCTCCGTCTGGCAGTCTTGTTTACTGTCAGTACCACCTACTTGGAAGGCGAAGAGTAGAAGCGACTCTCCTTAACTCCTCTCTGATGCCCACTCCCAACCCCAGAACTCCAAATAACCAGCCCCGATCCATCCATCCGGGCCCTCCTCCTCACCTCCGAAGCCCTGGGTCCGCAGCTCGCGGTAGGAGCGGTAAACCTCCCGCGTCAGGTAGTTGGCGTAACCTTCCCGGGGCGCGAACTTGCATACGAAGCTCTGCTCGTACAGGCAGTTGATGAGGAAGCAGGAGGCGGCCGCGTCCTCCCCGCCGTCGGGCTGAAGCTCCACCAGCGCCAAGTTGCAGGTGGGGGTGTTGCAGCAAGCGCGCACGCAGTCCCAGCCCCGGAGCACCGTCGGGGAGCCCAGGAAGGTGGCCCCGTTGCCCACCGAGGCATCGGTGTCCAGCACGAAGTCGGGGACCCCGGGGGTAAAGCGGTCGAGGCAGGCGGCGGCTCCGGCAGCCAGGCCGGGAGGCTCGGGCGGCAGCCCGGCCGCGGTACCCTGGAGGCTGAGCGCGCCCACGAGCCACACGGCCACCACACGAATGCGGACCTGGAGGACGCGGGCGCCGGCCATGGTCCTCCCGAGGGCCGTCGCCCTCCTCCCCAGGGGGGTCACCTTCACCGCGCGCGACTGAGTTCCGAGGGTGCTGGCTACCTGCGAGAGGAGGGGAGGGGACGGAGGAGGAGACACCGGATCAGCCGGGCCGCCCGGAGGAAGTGCAGGGCAGGGCTGGGGAGCAATCGAGCACCCCGAGAGTGCAGGGCGATCGGCCGGCCCGACCTTCCCACGCACACCGCGGGTACCCCGCCGCCCCCGACGGCCAGGCCGACGAGCAGAGGGAGCCACGTACCCCGACCCACTCGGGGCGCTGAACGAAGGACCACACATGCTCCCCGCCCGCTCCGCCTCCACCGGGCCCCGCGCGCCGGGGCTCGGTTACCTGCGCAGGTGAGCGGGGTGGGGCCCGGCCGGCCAAGGTTCCGGTCCCGGCTTCCTGCGCGGCCACGCCAGCCGCTTCCGCCCGGGTGCCGGTGCTTAGGGGACCGGCCACCTCCTCCCCAGGTTTCTGGTGAAACTGAGTCAGTGCCTCGGGGGCGGAGCGGACATTGACCCCCTGCGCCGCCGGCCACGCCCCGCGCGCCTCGCGGGCCCTCCCCGGCGCGCCTTCCGGGCTCCCCCCCACCGGAACCCCGATCCCACCGCCCAGGTTCCTGGGGGTGGGGGTGGCCGCACCCCCGGAGGCCGCTCTATTCCGGCTCCACGATGGGGTCTTGGACCGCCCAAGGGCCCTGAGCCCCAGAAGCGACCCCAGGTGTGCTGGGGTGCGTCGAGGGTTCGGCACCCGGGAACTGATGGGGAGCTGCCTTGAGCTTCCTTGCAGCGTCCCAGACGTGGCCAGTCGGCAGGCGGAGGAGACGGGAAAGCCCGGAGCAAATGACGCCGCTGTCGTCGTCGGCCCCCGGAAAACTCATCCACCTCGAGGCCCAAGCTTGAGCGGTGTCACCTCGGTCGTGGAATTCGGGAGGCGCCTCTGCCCACTTTGCGGAGCCCTCCTTCCCGCCCAAGGAGCTGGGGGCGAGTTCCCGGGTGCAGCCTGCCTGCAACACCCACCGTGCCTCTCTGATCCTCTCACACTCACCTCTTCTTTCTGGGGTGGGGAGCTGTTTCCGCTCAAGGACGGCTGTTCCCTTCCAGGGGTCTGGGTGAGGTCCCCTCTCCTCTCCCACCGAAAGGGAAAGGGGTACTCCCGTGGGCAGAGCCAGTCACTTTCTTCAGGGGAAATGGCATCCTTGGAAGCCAGAGGTCCCAGAAGCACGCAGTTTGTGTACTTCATTTGATTGCAGAATCCTCTTTTTGTGTTCTGTTTTGTTTGGGGGGCATTATCCAGTGGTGCTTAGGGCTTACTCCTGACTCTGTACTCAGGGATCATTCCAGGTGGTGCTTGGGGGACCATATGCAGTGCCAGAAATTGAACCTGGTGTAATGCTAGCGCCTCCTTGGCTTGTACTATCTCTCTGGCTTCAGTGACTGAATCTTCGAAGCACTTCCCGATAAATGAGGTGAGACAGGGCTTGTCTTGCACAGGGTCAACGTGTTCGATCCTGGGCATCCGATATTGTCCCCCAAACACCACTAGGAGTGATTCCTGAGTGCAGAGCACAAGTAACCCCTAAATATCGCTGGGTGTGGCCCCAAAACTCACCTATCCTCCCAAAAAAGAGGGGCTGGAAAAATAGTACAGTGAGTAAGTTACCTGCCTTTCATGAGCAGACCGGATTCATTCCCCAGCATCATCCCATATGGTTCCATGGGCATCATCAGGAATCATTCTTGAATGCAGAGCCAGGAATAATCCCTGAGCATCACTGGGTGTGACCCCAAAACCAGAGAGAGAGAGAGAGAGTGAGAGAGAGAGAGAGAGAGAGAGAGAGAGGAGCACTGCCAGAAACGATCCCTGAGCACAGAGACCTGAGGACTGCCCAGTGTGACCCAGCACCCACCCTCTCTGGCCCCTCAAAAGAAAGAAAGAAATGATGGGAGAAAGAAGGAAGAGGGAGAGAAGAAATTGCTTGCACTTTTCCATGATGCCTTAAGACAACTCCATACACAATAGGAACATTACTCCGATTTCTTTCCTATTCCAGCAGTTTTACCTCCTGCTTATGTAGCCAACCCTCCCACATTTCTCCTGGCTAAAGGGCAGTACCCCCCAGCTTCTGAGCACTGTGGGTGGCAAGCTAGAGTGTCTCCACTTCTCTGGAATCCTGGGTTTCCCACAGTCCCTGTACAGTGAGTAGGCAGAGGACTGTGATGGTATGTTGGGAATGAAGAACATGATTCAGCAGTTACTGGGAAGAAAGAATTTCATAGTGATTTTTATGTCTGCCTCCCCTAATACCTAATCCATTCTAGAATTCTAACACAGGAGACTATTACCTTATGGTAACATTATATTACCATTAATTTGTTATTCCATCCATCATACGCACCATTCCAAACACCTGCATTTATCAGGCTTGACGATGCCCCCACCCTGTGTTTTAGCAGTATCCCCTCACATCACCCCACATAGACAAACAAATGAAGAAAGTAGGCACTGGGGCTGAAGAGATGGCTCAAAGGGCCAGGTTTCACCCCAGAGTCCCAGGTTCAATTCCCGACAACAAATGGACTCCTAAATGCTACTAGGTGTGGCCCCAAAACAAAAGGGAGCACTATTTTTAGTGCCCCACTTTACATACTATCAAACAGTGAACTCTCTTAGATCAGGTGTTAAGATCTGTGAGAGTCCTTTTTTTGGTTTGTTTTTGTTTTGAGGCCACACCCAACGATGTTCAGGAGTTACTCCTGGCTTCACACTCAGAAATCACTCCAGGTGGTGCTTGGGGGACCATAAGGGATGATGGGGAATGAACCACCAGGTCGATCATGTGCAAGGCAAGCTCCCTACCGCTATACTATCACTCTGATCTAAGGGATGAGAGTCCTGACAGGACTTCCACTCCAAACCTGCCTTAGCAGCAGGTTTTTCTACACTTGCAATCTTCACTGCATCTGAGTTACATTTGATTCTACTTTTAAAATATTTTCACCAAGAGTAAATCCTGAGCACCTGCAGGTACAGTCCAAAAATAAAAACAAAAGTATTTTTCCCCTATGAGGCTATAGAGATGATTCAGTGTGTAAGACTTACACATGGTGACCCTGGTTTGATCCTGGCACTGCATAGGGTCCTAGGAAGCATCATCAGAAATGATCTCTGCAGGGTTTGGCCACAAAACAATACATTTATAATACCACTGTTACTGTCCTCCCGTTGTCCATCGATTTTCTCGAGCAGGCCCAGTAACATCTCCATCGTGAGACTTTGTTGTTACTGTGTTTGGCATATCGAATACATCACGGGTGGCTTGCCAGGCTTTGCTGTGCGGGCGAGATAATCTCGGTAGCTTGCCGGGCTCTCCGAGAGGGACGGAGGAATCGAACTTGGTTGGCCATGTTGGCTGCATGCAAGGCAAATGCCTACCTGCTGTGCTATTGCTCCAGTCCATTTATAATATATAAAATTAATTTTTGTACATTCCTCTACTGAGTATAAAATCATTTCATAATAAAGAAATTTATCATAACAACCTCTGACTGCTCATATATATTCCCAAATCTCCTAGTCTTATACCCAATCTCCTAGTTTATGTATTTATATCTCTTCTAGTTTGCATATTTAAACCATTTATAAGTTCATACCCTCTCTCCTAGTCTTTCTAACTCTTCTCATTTGGGTTTAGTTATCTATGGCCCTATCTTTCTTGGAGAATTTCCTGAAATATCCAGTCAACCCATGGGTCCTTGTAGTTGTTCCTCATAATTGGTCACATCTGTATGTTCTTTTGTTTTTTGTTTTTGGCTTTTGGGCACACTCAACAGTACTCAAGAGTTACTCCTGGCTCTATGCTCAGGGATCACTCCTGGCAATGCCCTAGAGACTATAAGGGATGCCGGGGATTGAACCTGGGTCAGCTGCTTGCAAGACAAGCACCCAATTCACTGCACATTCTGGTCCCCTACATTTTTGTTTGTTGTTTTATTTTTGGGGCCACACCCAGTGGTACTCAGGGCTTACTCAGGGCTCTTCACTCAGGGATCAATCCTGGAGGGGATTGTGGGATCATATGGTGTTCCAGGGATTACGTCCAGATTGGCTGCTTGCAAGGCAAGTGTCTTACTCACTGTACTATCTCTCCAGCCTTTTTATTTTTGTTTTCTGGACCACATGCAGCAGTGCATGGGTGGGGGGGAGGGGTCACTCCTAGAGGTGCTGGGAGACCAGAAAGTCCCAGGGATAGAACCTGGGCCACCTGCATGTAATGCATGTGGTCTGGTTCTAATCCCTCATACCACATATAAACCCCGAAGAAACACTAGATGTGGCTTTCAGCGTAGAGCCAGGAGTGACCCCTGAGCACCACCAGGTGTGGACCAAAATATTGCTTACAATCAATATTCCATTGTGGTAAGTATCCTCTTAATGGCCACCAGTGAGCTGTATACGCTGCCCTTCCTGCCCTGTGCAATCTCGGAGTGTGGAGCACCGAGTGAAACTGGCTTTCAGTGAACCCGACACAGCAAAGGTCATGGGAGGCTCCTTCCTGGATCGCTTATTCAAGGACTCTGACTTCCATCTTGCTTACCCCAGCCTTTGCTCAATGGCCTAGCTCTACTAGACTCTGGCTGTTGTGTGAAGAGTGGACCCTCTAACATGGTCCATGTTAAGGAGCTGGGGTGATAGTACAGCAGGTAAGGCACTTACCTTGCATGTGGTTGACACAGGTTTGATCCTCCTCCCCAGAGCACTACCAGGGTAATTCCTGAGTGCAGAGCCAGGAGTAAGCACTGAGCATGGCTAGGTATGACCCAAAAAGCAAAAATAAATAATAAAATACAGAGATCCATGTGGCAAGAAGCCAGTGTTTGAAAGTGACAACCTTGACCAGTACCAGAGTCCCAGAACCAATGGCACCTACTAACCCACCTATGGGAACAGTGACAGAATAATGCATATTGCTTTCAGCAGGTACCTTTTGGGATGATTTTTTTATGCAGCCATATATGGCTGGAGCAATAGCACAGCGGTAGGGCGTTTGCCTTGCACGCAGCCAACATGGCCGACCCGAGTTCGATTCCTCCGCCCCTCTCGGAGAGCCCTACCGAGAGTATCTCGCCCGCTCGAGCAAATGGGCCCAGTAACGTCTCCATTGGAGACTTTGTTGTTACTGTGTCTGGCATATCGAATACGTCACGGGGAGCGTGCCAGGCTCTGCCGTGCGGGCGAGATACTCTCGGTAGCTTGCCGGGCTCTCCGAGAGGGGCGGAGGAATCGAACTCGGGTCGGCCATGTTGGCCGCTTGTAAGGCGAACGCCCTACCACTGTACTATCGCTCTAGCCCCGCTAATATATCAGTGAAGTGGGAAAATAAGGATATCAGATGAAATAAAAGCAAAAACAATTGTAAATATATTGTTAGGGTCAGAGAGATAGTTCAAGAAGTAA